TGCCTGTATAGGAGGTCAACACTTCAGAGCTGCACATTTGCATCCCAGCTTTCACCTATACCTGAAACACACAGCAATGTTTACTATACCATGATATTCTTCAGTGTAAAATCAGCGTATTGCCCCTTGCGCCTTCACTGCCTAATTTCTAACTCTCAGAGTTAAGGATTTCTGGTTTCCCTACTTTTTTGTATTGTATAAAGATAAGCAACCAATATTATAAATCTGTGCACTGAGATACATACGTCCTTAAAATTTGGCCTGGCCTTTCCCAGTGTTGAAACCATCACTAAAATCCGGCCCTCCCCTTCCCAGTGTTGAAACCATCACTAAAATTTGGCCTGGCCTTTCCCAGTGTTGAAACCATCACTAAAATTTGGCCTGGCCTTTCCCAGTGTTGAAACCATCACTAAAATTTGGCCTGGCCTTTCCCAGTGTTGAAACCATCACTCCTCTGCCTTGTACACAGTGTGAGAAATGACAGGTCACAATGGCAGGCAGCAGAGAGGTTTTAATTTCCTCACCCTCCCCATGAATAATTTAAGACCCAACACCCATCTCCAGTGATAATATCTCGAAGGATAGGGACAACTTCATATTCATACTTGAGAATTCATTTGTATATAAAATAGTCATTTTGTAGTCAGGGATGGTTAAATGTAAGAACATGGGATGCAATTTTCAGAGGCACCGAACATTTGCATCTCCCACTGAAATCAATAGGAACCGTAGGAGTTCAGCACCTTTGATCAATAGGGCCAGTGATTTGCAAGTCCAAATCAGCTGCTGATAAAATGGTAGGGTATCATGGAAGAAAAATCCTACTTACTAAGGGGCTAAAAATAACTGACTAGATGAGCAGCCCCATCATCGTATTTTACATAAAGAAAATGGTGTGGTGCTGAAAAAAATGCAGAAAAAATATTTCTTATTCTGTCTCTTGTATTTGCCTTACTTGCTCTTAAACTTTTTGGTCAAATTTCTTCTTCAATTGCTGATGGCTTCTTTTGTTTTTATTACAATGATATTAAAAAAAATACTACACCATTCCACAATGGCAGCCTATTTTATACTCTATAGCAACACAGACCAGTAGATGAACAGACACAGCCACTGACTACGCTGAATCAAACAGGTATGTCTTCTTTCATGTTGTAATTTGGAACCTACGTTATAGGCTCTGGACATCAGTATGTACACAGTGTCCGCTAGTCCTCATCTGACTTAACAGATAGATACAATGAAGTGTTTAAAAAGTATTACAGAAAGGTCAGTTTTCTTTTCCATGCTGTCCTTCTGCAAGGTAGGATCTCTGTAAAGATCTGAGTCTAGAGTGGTGACTGAGGATCCAGCTCAGACCCTTCAAACACTTCATGACAGAGAAATACACATCAACACATAGCCAGGGATTTATCCATTTCTGTATTATAATTAAAAAAAGGAAAACTTTAAGGTAACTGGATTTCAATAATTTTCCCCTCAAGATTTTTTTCCCCTTTTTTTAAAAAAATTTGAGCATTTATCATTTGCATTAATCTTCAAAACACACAGAGCTCATACGCCCTCCAGACACAGCGAGTGCTAGAAGGCAGATTTTGCCCATTCCACGTTGCTGTCTGAAGAGCAGATAACCTGTCCTTAGTCAGCCCTTCACTCTGCCTTGACCCAAAGCTCTGCCCACTGCCCACAGCCCTGGCCAGGCTCTCAGGGACCACCGGTGAAGCTGCTGCAACCCCCGAAGCACCAATGATGAGCACCAGCATCACCTCCCTGGTGGATGTCCCAGCCGCTCACCTGCCTTACAGCTCTCCTTGGGGGCAAATTCAAGCCACTGTGCCCCAGTCTGCCGTGAATGCACTACAGTTCTCAACATCTTTGAAAGTACACAAGAAAAATAAATGTGTATATGCCTTTACTTGATAGAAAATAATTCGACACATTTACAAACATCCACTTCATGAAATGAGGTTTTTCTAGAATAACTATGACATTAGAACCTATTCACAGAAATTACTCCTGTTGAAATGATGTGTTTTACTTGATAAACTAAATATTCTAACTAAAGATTTTCAATAAATCAGCTGTTACACAACCATTTACAGGGTTCTATAATTTCCTTACTGTCCATACAATAGTCAAATTTATTTCAGCAAGGTCCTTAACAAACGTGATGATTATAGGCCAAACATGGAAAAGCAAAGAGAAAGTATTTTTTTTTAACTGACTAGCAGTTCAAAGCAGGGAAAACACAGAAGTACGTGTTCCCAAGTAAAAGCTTCTCTATTGAGTTTTGCTGATAATAGAGAAAGACTGAAAAACAATCAAAAACATTTTACCACTTTATCTTTCGGCAGAAAGGAGACCACAGTTGAGAGCACTCCGGCAGAGGTCTCAGTCTGTTACAAATCTAAGAACACCTGCAAATTTTCGATCTGGAATAAGCTTTGGGTTTCCAAGACTTTGGGAATGTGATTTGATTTTACCAGTAACATGTAGCTCATGCATCTAACGGCAGTATGAGATACTTAAGAAAGCACATTTAAGTTATGAGATAAGGGGAAGAAAAAACTTTATGTTAAATTTTTATCTACATTCATTTATCCTGAAATCACAGCTCATTTAAGTTAATGCAGACTATGTCATAAAATATAATGGTGAAAATAATTTTGACTTTCCATAGCCTCCCTTACTCTTCCAGTAACAACCACTGAGCTGATCCCAGGTCAGATTTGATCCTGAAATGAAAATAAGTTCTGTTTTGCAATTTAGGCCCAAGTCCGTAGTCACTGACCAGACACAACCCCCCCGACTTGAAGGAAACCTGCCTGGAGAGAGGGCTGAGGGACCTGAATCATGGTGAGCACAGTGAAAATACCTGGGGGAGTTAATTTTAACTTCAGAGTGTTACATACAGTCTGAAATGGTATATTCAACTACTCTTGTTTAAAACATGCACATTTAAATTGTTGGCGTGAAAAAATATGCAGATATGAACCCCTACAGAGCAAGTATATGCTATTACTCATACCGACCAAAAGGGAGAGAACCAAGGTACCTGACTCGTAAGAACAGACCGTGAACTTATTTAAATATTTAACAACCAGAAGTGAGCAGCATTAATATTAATTTGGAATCTGCAGGAAAGCTTACGCAACTGAAAAATTTCTGGGGCAAACAAGACCAAATAATGGCATCTTGGAAAAATTTTCTGAATTAGAATTCCTGGTTCAGAGATTTGCATTTTGCTATGGAAAACACAACTAGAAACACTAATATAATTTACAGAATACAAAGCCATCTTCTTTCTACCTAGTTCCGCACAACCAAAGAAAATACATTACACCTTTAGGTTACCAGGTTAAGATAAGCACAGACAAGTCTGCGTGAAATCTGTATACATTTGCTTAATTCATGGTGACACTTACAGCCTTCTGAGGCTGGTGATATGCAACAGTATGCCTCTATAAAGTTAAAAAAGAATCAGTGGAAGACTGAAACCTGAGCACGGCTCAGACAGACAGTGCTCCATCCAGATAAAACAGAAATGGTGTGGGTGGGATACATCAGGTAGCAAACAGATGAGGCTGCAAAAATTATACAGCCAGTCCTAACCGAGGGCATATGCTCACCAGCTGTTCTGTAAAGCTGCAATTAATGTAGCTCACTAGATCCTCAGGTGCTTTCAAATACTCATACACCAGAAATGTTCAAATCTGTTTTCCCATCTGCATTAGATGAGGAAGCTAGAAAACATCCCTTCTGATGAGCATCTCGCTGACAGTAACCAGAACTTCGTCACCATAGGACAAAAAAAACCCCCCAAAATACTGAAATTATAATGATTTTCAGTACAAAGACATTTATTTAGAGAAAACCAGTGGGCACTTATCGGTTTGGAGGTGTCTGTACTTGTACCTCATACAACTTTCACCAAGTACAAACCACTCCTTCAGGCAAACCCAGAGTTATTCCCATCCAAGCTGCAAGATGTTGTGGATACTCTTGCTCCTGCCCACTTGCAAACTGGCAACTAAACAACCAATCCAAGACTGTGAGTGAGGAAGTGCATCACACAAGCAAAAATTAATTAGATTCCCCTCTGTTTACAGAAGACACAGCTGCATTCTAAGATCCTACATAATGAATGTTTTGTAGTATTTTCAATTCTGATTGAAAAACCAATGCGATAATTCATGTTCAGCCAAAATGCCATCTAGTAAATCACCAAGACTTGCTCTCCCATGTATGATTGCAATCACACTGACTCCAATCCTACCTCCAATATATCTATCTTCAAAAAAAAACAACGGAGGTGTTTCAAGCTACTCTGATAAATCCTCCCAATCTACCGTGATAACAACATTGCAAAGTTAGGTACTTACAAAGGTGAGGTTGAAATTAAGTAACTGCCCTTCAATTTATGTAACATTTTCCTGAAATGTAAATTCAATAAAGGGACAGCAAAATGTATCTTAGAAAACACGGTGTAAAACACTACATGTTTTTAGAACTGGCTATCATTCTAGTCAATGATTTATGAATTAAAAGGAAAAAATGAAAGATTTAAATTGTGACCAGCATGAAGAAATTAAACAAAGGTAGCAAGGCAAAATACAATCAAGATTTATCAGTCTTCTCCAAATAATTCTTTAAGAGCAATAAAGTTTTAAGGCTTAGTATGAAAACAAAATGTTTAATTTAAGAAAAATATCACAGCAATTAGAATCAGCAGGAGTCCTCTGCTAGTATAAACCTGTCATCTTGAACAGTATTTCTTTCTCTACTGGGCAGTATCAAGGTTAACAGAGTAGAAAGTTAATGAGAATTCCACGTTGTAGTCAACCTCTGGCCAACCTAGCGTTTTGCTCGCCAGAATTTACAAAGCGCCCAATGACAAACATCATCAGTAAAACGTGACTTGTATTAGTGTAAAAGCAGGCAAGACAAGAGAACAGAAAAAGTAACGAATCATTCAGCACAGAAAAGCGAGAGAGGCTTACCGATAACATAGGATAGCAACAACGCCAGGGTAACCGTAATAGCAGTGGCACTCAGAGCAGTGCACTTCCAGTTGCAACACCTGTAAGGTTTGTTAAAAGTGAAGGCAGGTCTAGAGAAGGTACTTCTAGGAAGAGGCCTAGGAGGTGGAGAGTAAACAGTATTGGATGTTAAAGGATAGTTCTGACTGGCTGCGCTGAAGATAGCTGAAGACCCAGATCCATGTTTAAATAGGAAATGCCTACGAAAAGAAGACAAAGAACCATGTTGTAAAAACCATTTTGTGATTTGAGAAGCGAAAGGAACTATATGCACTGTAAGCACTGTATGACAAGTACTGCATAAATCCACAGAAAATATCAAAGAGACGAAAATGTGCATTTGAATACCCTCTGCGCTGGACGTTTCTCAACACACTGCAAGATTTCCAGCAATGTTTTAGTGAAACAATATAACGTAAATGAATTCTAAACTATCCTCCCAGCGCTTCGGAGTAATGCTGAGGAAAGGTTATTTCTCAGTACAGTACCTGGAGGTCCTCCAAGACGATCGGTCCCTGTGTGCCCTGTTACACAGGGGTGCCTGAGACTTGGGAACTGTTCCCAGTAGACCCCCTCTGTCCATAAACACACCACTGGATTTATTGCACCAAGAGAACAAAAAAGGGCAGAAGCCTTTACCATTCTGAGTATTTATTTTTGCTATGGTTTCTATCCAGAATATAGGAAATAACAAAAAGGGGGGGGGGAAAGAAAAAAGAAAAGAAGAAAACAGTGAGAAAGGTGACTCCTTAGTGGAAAATCTACAAGGATAATCCATTGAAGGACTGTAGTTACTGCACATGGAAGTACAATTTCTTTACTATTCTTTATTGAGCTATTTAGAGAGAAGTGTTTCTTGAAATGCTTTTGCCTACTCTGGTGATTCTCAAACATACTAAGAAAGAATTCATTTGGAGACCTATTTCAGCATATTTTGGAGGACTGATTGCCTTCAAGAAAAAATACTGAAGACCTACATTAGCACAAAACGTAAGGTACAGAAATGTGCCTTGCAGAGGAGCTCTAGTGCAGAAATATAGAGTGGTTGTCTATAGGAACATGGATGGTTTTCAGGATTAGCATGTGCTCTCCAAGAGAATTTGGGAAAAGATATTTAATTTTAATCAATAACTTACTGTGCTATGTGCTAAGAAATGGTGACAAGAAAGGGACACATTCAAAAGTGATCACACCACCCACACACTCTTTTGGAAATACCAGCTTCCTTTGCACCTTCTTTCCTTCATTTTATGTAAGTGAGCAAGCTTCGAGCGCACTCTTTTCTGGCAGGCACACAGCTTAGGGCATCGCAGTGTTTCTCTGTTGCAAGCAACGAAGTCTGAGCTGAGAAAGCAAGGGAAGGGGCACTGATACCACACAGCTTGCAAGAACAAGGGCTGCCTTCGCCCCAGAGCTGCCACCAGACTACTGTGTTAGCCTGAATCTCTGTAGCCTTTCTGTTGAGTACCCCGACCCAGGAAGGCATCTCCTGGAGAACAGCATTCAACTCTCCTGAGCTTTTGCCAGCTCTTCGCTTTGGGAGCCAGACACTGATGTGAAGCAAGGACCCACTTGCAGTTCAGGAGCTCTGAACCATGTCCTGTTCACAGGAGCTCACAGCTGAGTAAGAGCATCTGTGACTGTCGCTGCCGTTGATTCCTACACAACCCATTTCTCTCTTCTTCCATCAGCTGAGCACCATGCAAGTGCTCTGCAGACCCCAGACAAGCACCACTACACCACTTGTGCTGGGGGTGCAAGTTGTCCTCTGCTGTTTCTGCCAAAATTGAAGGAGGATCTTGCATTTATAATTATGTGGCACCACAACGGCTGCAAGACAAAAGCCACAGACAAACTTCAGGGCTGGAGGTAAATGGCCAATGTTGGCGTGGTCCAGAGTCTTCCCAATGACAAATGTACCTTCACACCTTCAGCGAGGCACAAGACCATTTTTGAATACATATATGGATCAATCAATCCATGCTGGTAGAATTTCTTTTATGGATTCACAGCTGGATGTACATAGGATCAAACACTCAAGAGTATGAGACATGATTACACTGTGCCATTTGACTTTAGGAATGTTGTAAATACATGCTCCTGAAAAGGCAATTGCTAAAATGGTGTAATAAATATGATATTATGTATTTCCATTACAAGAAAATTTCCCTTTTAAAAGAAGGGTTACAGTTCTCAAAATGCCAGATTATAGAAAGAAATAGGTATTAGAGGGCAGTTTTATCTTTTAAAGGGCCTTTGATCAGACAGCCACATAAAAAGGAAGGTAAATGAGGATACCAGTTATCTTCCATTACAGATTACAGTGCCTACACATCAGGATTCTTTTGATGAACCACAAGAATGAAACTTTTGTGTTGCTTATACTGAGTACTTGTTATTCCTGCTTCATATTTATTACACAAGTAAACAGCACTCAGATAAAAAAAGGCAACTGAACCTGACTGAGTACAGCATCCTGGCATTATGTTAGGCAGCACATGCTAACTTTCTTTCCCATCGACTTTCACAGCTCTAGATACACACATCATAGAGATGGCAATGCTCTGAACATGGCAATGTTACCTGCAACTATTTTAGTTCAGAAGTCCTAAACTCAAATGTAGTAAAATAATAAATTCCAGTGAAGTAACACAACTGTCTACAGGACTACATAATGCTGCTGTCCTCATGCCAGGCCACCAGAACAAAGTTGGTTAGTTTGGCTTCACATGCTTCGTTCTCACACATGAAATCTTTGGCAAGTACACAGGGCCATGCTTTTCATTCGGCATTTAATGAGATACAAAGTCATTGAGAGTTCCGGTAGGAAAGGATGTCATGGCACAGTTCATACCGACAGGCAAGGGAGCAGAAGTAGAATCACCACACAAAGTAAGAAATACGTTATTATATATAAGCATATACATAAATAAAGTATATATACATGCACACACACTATATATATATGTATTTATTTATATAAAAACCAGTCAATAGTTCTTGAATTGCTTTACATTTTCAAGACAAAATAATGACAAAATGCTACTTATTTCATAATTTTCCATTTAATTTTTTTGGGAATTACAGCAAGATGGTCTGATATTGGCAGTATTGATTGTCCTTTATGGTGCACAGCTCAAAGATACCAGAGGTAAAGGGAAGGAAATGCTGAACTGGAAGTTATTATTAAGGCTCTAGTAGTCTTGCAATCAATAGCCAGGAATAATCTCATTCTCTTGCACAGGGATTTATAAAAGTGGCTTCCCAGTGTGATGGTAAGATGCTGGTGTGCAGTGGGATTTCTTTACTAGCAGAAGAGTGCACAGAAAGCAGATTCAGCTCACACCCTTTTAGACAGATGACTCCATTCACAGAGGAGAATTTCCACAGCTCTAACTTGTTGTAATACAACGCAGATTCTGAGGCAATGCTACACTGAAACTGAGCTACCGGTGAAATAATGTTGAGAAAACATTAAAAATCACAATTGTTTATGCCTTCCATTTCTGGGAGAGTATACTGAGTACCCACAGACATTTCTATAGAATTTGAAAAACACCGCTGGCACAAAGACAAATTTCCAAAGCCAGACTGTGACTATGTCCTCATAAACTCAGACGACTCCTCATCTGTCTGAGCACACCGCGTTCCCAAAGGACATTAGGACACACTAAGCTGTTGCTATCAATTCTGTAAAATCAGGTGCTTCCTTGAAAGAGCAAAATAATAAAGATTGCGGTTCAAAAGTGTAGATGTGACTGCAGCCTGGTGTGTGTTTTAACAATCACTCTAAGAGAGATGCTAAGGTTGGGTTGGTTTTTTTTTGTAAACTGAGAACACAGAAGAAATCAGAGAATTTAAAAGAATGACTGATAAAACCACTTGTTCCAAGTGGGGAAGTTTTAAATGTTCACAGAAACATCAAAAATATCCATAAAGAAGACAGTAATATTCTCTTAAAAAGAGAAATATAGAACATAAACTGTAAGGCATTTGTTTGTGAAATTAAAGCCACTTAGTATTACTACACTGATAATTCCAATACATACATTAATATAAAAGACTCGGTAATAATTTCACAAATAAAAGAAGCAGTAGGAGAACATTCCCTCTTCCCTAAGGTAACCAGAATGTCTGTCTATCTGCCCATTTGTTCATCTCTACAAGTGTAAGGTTTTTGAACTCTGAATTCTCCCAGGCAAAGATGACTTTTAGAAAAAGATCCTACCAGACTCACAAATCAACGGGGAGTGCACATGACCAAAACCCTGAACCCACCCACAAACCCCCAACAAAACCAGCAAAACCCCAACGAGCTCCTGTTTCTAAACTCAGCTTTTCCTCCTCTCCAAGCCCCTCTGGTAGCCATCCAGCACAGCCGGCAGTGGCTAATGAAGCAGGACTGATAACGGCTGATCAACAGCTACCTCTGAACCTGCTACTGACATGCCCAGTACGGAGATAAGGACTGGGGAAGGGAGTTCCTGGGGAGTTCAGGTGGCAGAAGCATGAAGTTAGACCTCTCAGTCCTGCTGATCACAGAATAGCTTGCTTTCTGTAAAAGAAGCAGTTTTATGTGGATTATCTAAGAGCTCTTGTTCAGCCTTAAGAGGAATGGTATGTAACTCCAAGAGTACAGTTCATACGAAAATGATGAACTCTCAGCTAGGAGAAGGTTAGAGAACAGGAGTTCATTTCCTTCTTTACACCCTTCTCTATCAGGATGTTTTGTTATGTACTTCTGCCGTCTTACCTGGGACGCCAATTTAAGTCTTATAAAAGCTACACATGAAGCAACATCCCAACTGAACTCCTGTGGCGGTAACGTAATGCAATTACAGAAACTAGATTAACCCCACACAGAATCCCTTAATTAAATTTGGGGAAAATATTTTGATATTCCAGTTCTGTAGTAATGTCCCTCAACTCTGTCAAGGGCTTGATATCACTTGTATCACTTCGGTAAGCTCTGTGCATTTACCCTGTACCTAGCAGCTGTAGAACTAGTTCACCTTCATGTGTACCTATGATGCTCTCCTTCCATTTCCATCAAAAATTACAGATTTGTAAGAGGCAAAAAAAAAACCAAACAAAGGCAGATTTGGAAGTGAACCACTGGGTGAGTTAGTAGAAAAACCAACCTTGCAATACCCTGGCAAAAAAATGAGTCTGCATTTCTCCTGCATAAACCAAGGGGGAA